AGTTTGTTTCAGTTTAGTTCATTTGTGAGAGATGTGTGATGTGTTTGTGAGGCACCGAGGGGTGACGGAGGAAAGGAGGAGGCAGATCACCTGTTAACCTGAGCCAAGAAAAGATGAGAAGCCTGGATGTATAGAAAGAGACTTATCTTAACCTTTTTAAGGTCCAACACAGATACAGAAATCCAGTTCAGCAGGTCAGAGAGGAAGTGGAACCACCTTCAACCAGCTCATTCTGTCATTTCAGAAAGAAACTGAAACTGGCTGTTGGGATAAACACCACTCTGTTTACCTTTTACTGTTTACTCTTTCTGAAACATTGATGTTCTGATGTCCAGCATTAGACTTTTTTTTCCAGCTCTCTCTCCTCCATACTGCCTTGTTAGGTTTTTCTCTCTATTTTCAGCTCGCAGGTGAGATTGATTTATCTTCTCACTGCCTTGCTTTCCTGTCCAAGTACAAAAAGGGCTGTTCTGTACATTTTTTCTTTCCTGTTTCTGCTATTTTGTCTAAATTGGCAGTGGTGCTACATGAAACAAGGAGGTACTTGGGTTTTGTTTTGTTTTTGTTGCACAATGTCTCTTTATTATTGCTGCATGTTGAGTATGTGATTGTTGGTGCTGCTACTTTGAAGATACTAGACTGTATTGTTAGTGAAGCAGCTGAGTGAGGGAAATCTCTCCTACTGCCAATGATTACTGTCTAAATGAGTAATAGATACAGTCGAATGGATTTCACTTTGAATCCCATTTACCTGTCTTTCTCCATGGCGTCGCTGCAATCTATATCAGCTAAACTGTGGGATGTTGACTACCCAGCGGAGCTGCCGTGTGTCATGTGGCCTCTTATAGCTCAAATTTAGCTCAATTTTTCTCTGCGCAGGTGAGGATGTGATTGAACTACATGATTGCTTACACCTGCAGCAAAGGACTAACACTGTGAAACCATTAGTCATTCCTCCCACTGATGAAGGTAAATGTGACAATATGCAGTATTCATCCAGCTGCTCTTGAAAGGAAAAAAATGATGCAACTTTAGCATAGAAAGTTAAACTGAATACAGATTGCTTTTATTGCCAAGTGAGCTCACGCACACAAGGAGTTTGACATGGTGAATGAAACTGTGGTACACAACAATAGCAAGATAGGCAAAAAATATATATGCAAAAGAAAAGTATAAAAGTACTGTGTAAATAAAAAGTTCTCTGAAAAAGAGACATGAACTTGCCTAAAACCAGAGTACATAAAATGGAGGAATTGCACATGTAAAGATATTGCACAGAGGTAGTGTAACAGGAGGCTTTAATGATTTAGTGAATGATTGTTCATGAGGGATATGGCCTGAGGGAAAAGAGCTGCTCCGGTGCCAGGATCTTCAGGTGCTTAGAGACCTGAAGCACTGGTCAGAGGGTAGCAGATCAAAGAGGTGATGACGTGGGTGGAAGGGGTCGGTAATGATTTTTACTGCCCTTTTACAAAAGTTTAAAATACACACAATGTTAAGTTGATACAACTACTAACATTATTATGTTAATCCAAGCCAATAAAATATTGCGTGCAACTTGAACAGTTTATCTAAACATTTAGATTAATTTTTTTATTCTGAATGTAATTCAAAGGTGTCAAATGACTGCTTGAATCACTTTTTAAAATGTATCATCAACCTTGATGTCAGTGGACAGTGCAATCTTTGTTATGATCGTCTCCGTGTTACTGAAATAGCAGGACTGTTCACAGTCTTAGTGAAATTTGCCTTATTGTTCAAGAACCATTTAGGTTTGCAGAAGAGTAAAAGTATTTGATGTCTGTAGCAGAGAGCTGACAGTAAGTTTAAATCTGTGGTTGTCAAAATACATTCCAATGTGTCATTTAAGATTTCTGTTGATAGAAGTTAGCTGCAAATGCAGGAATAGAACGCTGAGTTGTCCCCTCATCTGGCAGAGTACTGAAGAGCTGACCACACCAGGCCTTTTGTGGGTGTGTGTTAACCCCTTCCATCACGGAAGCCCATTTTAGCGTAGCCAGGCCATCCACACATCCTTGGGTAGAGATG